TTCCACCTTTCTTTTACTATTAACCCGCATTAACACACGTTTGGCATTCCTTTTCTCAGGTAGCTTAGCTTCCTTCGTGGATAAACATATATTGGCATACTGCAACTGCCAAATTATTGATATTTTGAATACAGAACTTAAATTGTTTTTTTTTACTTTATTGTGCAGAAAGTTGGTTATTTTTCAGTTGTGTTAATAATAATATTGTTGTAGGTAATGCTGAATTGGAAAATCTGGAGCTACCCGAGTGAAAAGAAAAATTTCTATGCAGTAAGCATTTTGACCAAAAATATTAAAATGCAAAATATTTACCCGCTACTGCTTTACCAAAAAAATATAGTGAGGTAGAAGAGGAAGGTTCGTTAACGACACCACGCGTTTTACATATTCGATAGCAAAACAACCATCAACTAGTGCCAATAATGTTTCGCACAGTGATAATTCTGAACTTGACGATTTTGTTGATGATCTTACAGATATGCCGTTATCACCATTGGTCAAGAAAAAAGATTTCATAATTATCATACACTTTTGTTAAAAGGTCTGACTCAGTGTTTCTCATCTTTATACAGTATTTTTGTGCTAATAGTTGTCTATGTAATTCTAATGGGTTTCATTACACTTTGCTAGCATAACGTTTGTTGAAGTTGATACCATTGCAGTTAAACATATTCTTACGTATCTGTATTATACTCGATCTAATATTTTTAAATTGGTTTTGCTAGTTCATACATATATCCAACTGATACATTACTTATTTTAGTTTATGAAAACAACGTTACAATTAATTTCTATAACTATTAATGTAAACAAGTTTGTTTGGTTTTTTTACCTTGAATTATTATTTTGTTAATATTGTTAATGTGTAGATATTAGAATTTTGATAAGTGTTATATAAATATTAAAAAAATGCGAATTTAATTTTTGCAATATCTATCACTTTGTAATTTAAAATTATTTCATTAATAAGCAGCTCAGATCGGGCGAGTTGATTGAAAAAAAAAACACATTCTCATTAATGTAAGCAGAAATAGAGAAATGGTGTGTATTTTATAAAATACATAAATAAATAAAATAAAGGCTACTATGTATTAAAGTTTTGTTAATTATTATTCCTTTTATCCCAACACATAGATTAATTTGTCCCCAAATATGTGTTGCCCCTTGTTGTGGCATATCGATCTGTTTATTTGTTTCATAACCATTCCCATAAATTTACTATATTTTCAATCGTCATTTTAAAGATTAAAAGATTGAAAATTAATTTTCTCAAAACATACATAACACCATTGTTTAAAAAGATTTTCTTTTTTAAACAATGATAAAACTTAAGTCGACTAAAAAATAAACCTCCGCATAAGTGTTCTAAGACGATAGCAATCGAGTATATTTCAATTAAATATTTAATCCTTTTCTAACAAATCATAACACCAAATTTAATCTGGTAAACTAATAAAAATTAAAAAAAAGGTAGCATTTACCTACTTCATTTAAATAGATTACTGACCGATTTATATTTAGCAAGTCTCAAAGTATAAAAACAATTTGAAATATTCGCTCGAAATAGTCAAGTTATCTTTCATAAGATGCATACAACGATAATACCAATAAGCATTTTATATATTCTTATAATATAGTCTTATAATATATTCTTTACAATCTGGCATCCGTGTACAGGTTCGAATTAGTTATCAGCATCGAGCAAAAAGACAATAGAGGGAATGTAAAGGTAGTGGGGGCAAACATATTGTTAGACAGGAAGTGCGATCTTTAGAGGCCACATTAAATAAGGAAAGAGAGTCTCTCTCCTTGTTTGACATCAAATTTAGTTGGGTTATGTTATTGTTTGTCCCAAATGTCACATGAAATCTTATTTATATTGAAGTTTTTTAACAATTGTGTCGCATTTTAGACTCTTATCATTAATAATTAATTAAAACTTTCTCGTCTAAGACGCATTCTGCGAAATATTATATAGCTACTGTTGATAAGTGTCGGAAAATTTAAATTTGGCGCATTCGCATTTCCGGATATGTCCGCCATCAGAGGCCACTTTTTTGGTCTCCTTTTCATAAGGATTAGATTCCCTCTTTTGTCTTATTGCTCGATGGTTATCAGACAGCTGAAAATATAGTCGAGTAGAATCCTGCAATGAATTAAGTTTCTGTTAATAGTTTTTAAAATTTATGACTAGAGGCCGCCATATGACGGCAGATAAAAGTCAAACATTTGTTCCATAAGGATTGACTAACTAGTCCTATTTAAACAATGATACTAGCGAATATTATAAAAAAAATTATATGAGGGTACCTATTTTTGAAAATTTAGCATAGGATTAAGTTTAAAAAGTTTTTTTATTTTATTTTATTAATAAATATATTTAAGTGAGCCGTGTGCATAGGCAACCAAATATACACTGTGTTATTTGACATTTTTACATATTTGACATATTTGTTAGTTTGGGATGTTCCATTTATATATAATTACGGATGTAAAATAGTGATAATGTATTAGTTTAAGATATTTAGTTTATATATAATGGTGTATTCTGATCTAAAAAGCCTAAGTGTCCATAATATTCTCACTAGAATTTTCTGGAAAACGTAAATATACAAGGCAGTTAGCCCTATTTGCATAGTTGATTATTCCAGAACTTTCATGATGAGATGAAAAGTTTCGAACATGGTTTATTGCTAGAATAGTCTGAAATAAGAAAATTATATAAATAGGAGGTAATTTGGAGCAGGCAGGTATTAAGTTACAGTCAGGCATTAAGTTACAGTCAATTATTAAGTTACAGTAAATTATTAAGTTACAGTTACCAAGTCAGTTACAGTCATCGAGCAATAAGACAAAAGAGGGAATGTAAAGGTAGTGGGGGTAAACATATTGATAGACAGGAAGTGCCATCTTGAGAGGCCACTTTAGACAAGGATAGACAGTCTCTTTCCTTGTTTAAGAAGTCAAATTTAGTTAGGTTATGTTATTGTTTGTCCCAACTGTCACATGAAATTTTATTTGTATTGAAATCTTTTACCAATTGTGTCACTTTTTAGACTATTATAGTTAATATTTAATTAAAACTTTCTCGTCTGAAAAATATTTTATAGCTATTGTTAATAAGTGTTGGAAAATTTAAATTTAGCGCCTTTGCATTTCCGGATATGTCCGCCATCAGAGGCCACTTTTTGGTCTCCTTTTCATAACGATTAGATTCCCTCTTTTATCTTTTTGCTCGATGGTTACAGTCAATTATTAAGTTAGTAGAAGGCATTAATTAAGTAAGATGAAGTCAGTTACAATTGATTAAGTCAGAAGAATTCATAAAGTGATTAAGTTAAATTAAGCTAGAAGAATTCATGAAGTGATTAAGTTAAATTAAGTTAGAAAAAAGGATTAAGTGAGATGAAGTCAGTCAGTCAGTTACAATTAAGTCATTAAATTAAATTTATCAAGAAAGTTAGTTCAAGACAGTAATAATTAAATTAAATTAGAAGAAAGGATTAACTTAGAAGAATTCATTAAGTCAGATACAGTTGGAGAGTATGAGAGTAAATTAATTCAATATACATAGTTCAATACAGGAGTATAGTATATTATATGGAAATTACAAGAATTTTAAATTATAATATCTATATGCAATTTCAGAAATACAAGAATAACCGAGGCTGATTAAGAAGATATTTAGTGGTGATTATAACTTTGATTTTGAAAAACTTCATTCAGACATTCAGTGACAGAAAGGTACCAAATTTTGTTAATATAATTCAATAATTGTAAGAATTTCAAATTTTAGATAGGTTGTTTTAAATTTATATTGTTTATATTAGATATATGTCTGTTTCATAATAGTTATAATAAAGATAATTTCAAAAAGACCTTACAAACTAATTCTTTGAGAACCGCGATAAAAACCCTATACTCATATATTTTGTTTTAAACACTCATTGCTCATATACAAACAAAACATCATAACAATATATATATACATATATATATATATATATATATATATATATATATATACACATATATATATATATATATACATATATATATATATATATATATATATATATATATATATATATATTTATATATATATTATATATATATATATAATATTATATTATATATATATATATTTATATATATATATATATATTATATATAATATTATATATATATATATATATACATATATATATATATATATATATATATATATATATATATATATATAATATTATATTATATATATATATATATATATATATATATACAAAAGGAACATTTTTATTCTGGAGAGAGAAAAAAAGAGGAAATATATCTTCTGTCTCTCCCTTACTCATATCTTACATATGTACTGGTTTCACAGATTCACTCCCGTACAAATTTCCAACGTCGAGCGCGCATATAGAAGTATAACTTCTATATGCAAAAAAAAAGAAACAATGTGCCTACGAAATGAATATTATTATCTTAAAATCATTGCAAGGCGAATAAATTATGCATAGTTTAGTTAGGGCACACTAAAAACTTTTAAACTCAATTTCACAACAATCACTTTTTTTGGGTCGGACGTTTTCTGCTTAACTACGTCCATATTACAGCGTTAATTGAATATCCGAATTCGGATATTCAATCAACGGTTAGTCACATTCGTGTTGAGCGACACGTTGTATTGCCACTGTTAAATTTGAATAATGTAACAACTTTGATTCAACAACATTCTCTGCAATTTATTTGGTAAATTTTGTTGCTTATTAATGAGTTTAATTTTTTATTTTTTAAAACAATCTTGAATTTAAAAGTGAATTGAATTAAGTAACTTTTATATACGGAAATGTTTTAAAAAGTGGACAATTTGGTCTGTGAAATTTTGTATGTAAGGTTTTTTTATGTAACCGGATACAACTATTGCTAGTAACTATTAACTATGACTAATAACTAAGAGCTAACTAAGTGTAAATAAGCATATTATGTAAATTAAAAGTCTTTTAAACACATTTTGAAAAAACACATTTGACAAGTACATACCTAATCATTTTAAAGCTTTGGTCAATAAAGCTGACACCTTCTAATTCAAGTTGACGCACCTCCTTGTAAAAGTGTCCCATGATCGCTTCCCAATTCTCACTGCTATTTAAATCAAAAATATCAAAGTCAGTATTCTCAATCTGGACGACCAGTTTATCAACTCGTTTAGCAACATTGTCTATACTCTGTGGATCGCTGACAATAGATCTCAGCTCAGGTCCAAAAATATTTTTAAACTGATAGATGATCTAGAAAAAGAATTGGTATGAGTTTATGAAATATATAGCAAGATTAACTACTAGGTAAAATTAACGCTCAATTTATTACAATAAATTGATTATATTAACGGATACTCTACTAAAAATACTAATTTTGTTGTTGCAGTTATATTTGAGAAAGAAATCTAAAACATGCACCATTACTTTAAATCTCTAAATAAATATTGTTGTTTGGCATTAAGGTCTAAAAACAGTTATTAGTATTATTATAGGCTCAAAAAATGGTTTATGATAATCAAAAAGATTTAAAAAGGGAATGACAAATTTTATAAACCAGATGCTTAAGTTAGAATCCAAAGTTATAGTCGTAAAGGCATTAGGAAAAAGGCAAGTGTACAAAGTTGGAAGATGCTGATGAAAAATAGAACACTACGCACAATAAATAAAAACGGACCAAGCGATTAATGAGGATATGATTACTGGTTTTAATGAATTCATCATCATCATCATCAGCGGCATTACAGCTCGTTATGAGCCAAAGCCTCCTTCAAAACAATCTTCCATTCGCCCGTCTCTGACAACTCTTCTTCATGCTTTAACTCCGATGGATTTTATATCATCCTCTATGTTATGTTGATGACTAAGTTTTGGTCTTCCTCTGGCTCGTCTTCCCACTGATCCTGTTCGGTCTAAATTTTTTCTGATCGTTGCGTCTTCATTTCGCCTAATTACAGTTTTTATCCATCGAAGGCATGCTAATTTAATATATTTTACAACTTTAGGTTTCCCAAAACTTCTGTATAACTCGTATACTCGTACAACTTCTGTAAGTTGTAGCCTCTACGCCACAAACCCTGTTCTTGGACTCCTGCATATATTTTCCTTAGAATATTCTCGAAACGTTAAAGCAATTCTTGGTCGTTCTGTGTAAGTGACCGTATTTCTGACCCTTATGTTAACACTGGCCTTATTAGTGGTAGTTTTGAAGCCATCTGTTTCCTCAAGCCATAATAGCACTTATTGGTAAGCACTATTCTTTTTTTAATTTCTTTGCTGACATTGTTGTCTTTGGTCAGCAGCGAGCCCAGGTAGATGAAACTGTCCTACTTTCGACCTACGACATACTTTCGTCGATTGACAAATTTCGTGATGGTGTGTATGCTTCAAAAAATTTTTTTTTGAAGTACGTTATGAGGGGTCGAATTTTATATAATTTATTAAAGCCTATAATTATCAGGATGCCAAAAAAGCCTTCAGTTCTTCCACAGTGCGGTCTAAAGATTTTCCTAGCTGCGCTGCATAGATATTTGATTTCTTCACATTTTTTTCACATATTTAATCATTGAAAAGAGCACTGAAAAAATCCAAAGAGGTTGCATCTTCTGGAAAGTCAATGTTAACTTTTGAATTTTCACTAAAATGAAATAAACTATAAACTAAAATTGGATCTATCTTTTTGGACCACATGAATTTCGAGCTTTTGGAAGATGAAACATCCACATGAACCTTGTTACTGTTTACTTCTGGCTCTATGTCATTGCCAGATAAATGTATATGTTTTTGTCTTCTTAGTAGACATCTCTTCAGCAAAATAATCTGGATCCAAAACTGAATCGTCAGAATTTTCATCGCCGCTATCTGATAAATCCAAAGTGCAATAAGTTTGTTAATGATCCTCAGGTTTGTTTGATGTTAAAGCAATATTTGGGATTAAACTGGAAGCAATATTTATGCTTGAATTGGATCGAGTGCTGCACTTAGCTGAAGATGGTACAAATCAAATATGATCGTCTCCGTTAGAATCTCCTCCATAGTCCGACTTATTATCATAATCGCTATTATCCAGATCTTTATATTTATAATCTCTTTCAATTGTCTTGCAGTAAGAGGCGCTTGCCATCGTCTTTTTGTATTTTCGCTCACTGAAAAAAAAAAACGTTGGTCTCAATACTCACCCACAACATCTTTTCCCAAAAACTTACAAAAGATACCTCTTTTTCATATAAAAGACTAGAAGGTAGACTAACTAACATTCTAACAATACGCAATTCCTCAATTTATTTTTTTATTTATGGAAAAAAATTGTCAAGTTTGCAAAAAAATTTGGTTAGGTTTGTTGGCAATGTTAAATGGTTTGTAATAACTTTTAATGTAATAAAATTGTAATAAAAATTAATAATACCTACTATTTATTGTGGGAAAACGTTCTTTACACTATATTTCACACAAGTAAGTACACTTGTTATTATCCAATATTTTAGAGAAAAAACTAATTAAAAACGAGAATAAATTACTGTGACATTAACACCGGTAAAGTATCCTACACAAATGGCCTCTATAGCCCAGTCTGGTTAAAAAAAAAGGTCGAAAAATGTTTCGCAAATATCTGAAGCTTTAAAGACATAGGTGGGGATTACTAGATGATGAATAGATGAAAATATACTACTATTTTTACCTTGTATTTTTTTTAAACAATAATTTATGGTTACAATTTGATTTTTTGTCTATAAGTTTTTTCCTTTATATTTTAAATAAACAATATTTATATCATTTTTTTATATCAAGAATATCTTTATTTTCCCGTTTTTTCCATTAAAATTGATAAATAATTCACAGAGATATTTGCAAAAAAGCAGCTTTCCGCAAATCGCCAGGAAATTTTGATATTCCTGTCAAAATTTCTTGAAGAAAAAGTCAGGACTTCCTTACTGTAAGGAAATGATATTTCCGTACAGTTGTTAGTGTTCTACATAAATGATAGAAAACACATTGCTTATAAGGAATTAATTTATATTTTGAAAACATCAAGTCATTGCTGAATACATTTTTAAGATCAATTTGTTATATTTACAGTAATTTGACAGTTAGTACAATTATTGAACATTGGAGGAACACTCTTAGAACTATGAGAAATATTGATATAATTATTTATCAATTATTTATCATTTATCAATTTATCATATTTATCCCTACAAGTCCGTCTGAAATTTGTTTCATCTTTAAACAAAGGTCTAGGAAGTATGCCATTACAACATTTTCTGAGAAAGAACTCGTATTTTTACTCATGCGATAATCCATAAAACGTCTGTATGCATTTTCGTACTTTTCTCTTGATTTCTTTAGCAATAATTCTTATGAAGCAGTATTCACTGCCTCAACCAGCTCTGGAGGAGTCCCAGGAATGGAAATTTCATCATTACTTATCATTTTACTTTCGAGAACACCAGCAATTAAATTTATAAGCGTCAAGTTTGACAATTCAACCTCAATACGTTTCCATAGTAACCCAAGTAATTTTATTAGGAATTTCAAAGCACCGTTTATTTGGGAATAAAATTATCGCGTTTTTTTTAAATCAATCAATATCTGTCGAATTTTAAACGATTTGCGGAAAAATAGTATGTTTACCTCGTAGGAAAAGCCACATTCCTGGACTCTGTGTTGCTAAGTCTCGGCTTGCGCCTCGACTTAGCAATCTTCACAGTCGTCCAGGAATGTTAAGCTTTTCCTACCCGGTAAACAATGTACTATTTTTGCACAAATCAGTGTCATTACCTATTATTACTGTACTCATTTCTGGTTCATTTCTGTAGTGCTGTAGAGCAGTTTGTACGATGAGCAAGTCAGCACCTTCCTCTGCGACTTTAGTCCAATACCCAGCTTTGTTTAATTCTATACTTACTTTGAAACTACTACTGCTTGAACAAGTTAATGCCACAGTCTGCTGTTTATTTTGAAATAATCTATCATAAATAATATTTTTCACTGATTATACAAGTTGAAAATAATTAATTATTCATTCAATAGTTTTAAATATTACTTACAATTTTCAATCAAAAAGTAATTAAATACATTTAGTTAACACTTTTTTGTTCAGAATACAAAAAATATTTTACTCAAAGAAGTGTAAGTATATTGCTTTCTAAAACCACTACACTGAGACTAACGAAATTTAGAAGCGTAGAGCTAAACCAGTTTCCACTTCATTTTCCTATGTCGATCTTTCGAAAGTACCTTCGTTTCGAAAGGCTGTAAGTTTTGAAAAATTGGATGAATTTTATAGCTATGAGTTTCAATATAAAGTTTAGATTTTCATTCAAAATTTGTACAAATTTTACTTCTTAATGTTTATAAACAATGGAGATATGATTTTTAAAAAAATAGTCGCTAACTTCGTTCCTATTGGTCATAGAAGGATTTTTTTAAAGTGAGTTTTTTTTACCAGCTATCCAATGGTTGTACGTACAAGTATGTAGCTTGAAAAATATAGAAGTTATTACAATTGTTTATAAGTAAAAAACATACCCCTTATTCAAACGTTTATTTTGTAAATAATTTCGATGAAAACGCCATATGCATTTAACTTCTGAGATAGTTTAAGTCTTAAAGAATCCTATGAAATTTGCTAATTAGTGCAAAAAAATTCCTTTTTTGCAAATATCTCCGTAAATTATTTATCAATTTTAATTGAAAAAACGGAAAAATACAGATATTCCTGATATAAAAAAATGTAAATATTGTTTATTTAAAATGTAAGAAAAAAAACTTATAGACAAAAAATCAGATTGTGACCATAAATTATTGTTTAAAAAAAACGCAAGGTAAAAATAAGAGTACTTTTTCAACTATTCGTCATCTAGTTACCCCCATCATCATCATCTTTGGCTCGAAAATCCTCTGTGGATCTTGGCCTGCTCTAAGATTCGTCGCCATTCTGTTCGGTTTTTGGCAACATGTTGCCATCTTCTGATTTTTAATATTCGTAAGTCGGTTTCTACTCCATCTAACCACCTAATTCGCGGTCGGCCTTTGCTTCTTTTTCCTACAGGTGTTCCTGTGGTTAGCTTTTTAGAAATGGTATTTTCTGGCATTCGTATTGTGTCCAGTCCATCTAAGTCGCTGTGTTTTAATGAACGTTATGACATCTGGCTCATCAAAGAGCTGATACAATTCAAAATTATATCTTCTGCGCCACTGCCCTTGGTCGTTTACAGCTACAAATATTTTGCGGAGTATTTTACGCTCAAATA